GACTTGGGCCATCCTCTACTGCTTTCCCAGGCCACTAACAGGGAGTTGGATGAAGTGGAGCAGCTGGGATAGGAACCTGTGCCCATCTGGGATGCTGGCTGGCAGGCAGTGGCTGAAATTTCTTTGCCATGAGGCCTGTTCATGACTTTCAGCTTCTCTCTTGAAGAAGCCCATATCCTATCACAGGTATGTGCTGTCAGACTTCGCCCTCATTGCTCAACACCAGGATCAATTCATAAGCAGTTTTATGGCAAAAGGACCCTGCACCTTAATTAATTCTTAATTAATTCTTGCACCTTAGTAACCACCCAACAAGTCGTTAACACACAGAAACATACAACAGCAGCGGCAAGAAGTACCTCCCATCCCTTCTGCTATGGGCGACTTGTCCCTCCAAGGAGTTCACATCCCTGAGGCCTGAAAGTTTTCACATTCACTGAATGCCGTGAAAACTGCCCCCACTTATACCACCCTGTCCTCACATCCGGAGAGCCAACTGGATGTCTTTGGACACGACTTGGGAGTCTTTCAGCGCACAGACTGGTACACAGACTGGGATGTTGGGCAAACCCGTAGCACATCTTGGCTGCCTTCGCGAAGCACGCTCCCTGTGGCACTGGAAACCCCACGTCGGCTCTGAAGTCTCACTTGATCACCCATGGTAGACACTGGAAAGGGCCTGTAGCCATGAGGCTTCTCTACCCCGCCAGTAGAGAGAGCGCGTGGTCCTGGCGCTGAGGTTGGCAGGGTGTTGCTGGCCAGTGGACCTAATGGGCATTTTACTCAGCCTACCCATTTTCCTTACCTCAACATGGAAGCCTCAGAAATTCAGCAGTGGCCCAGCTGGGAAAGGATGCTCTCCCCAGATGTGAGAAGCCAGCCTGTGCTCCTCTTGTGAGCAATGGAGCCCAGGCAGATGTGGATTGGGAGGTGGGTGTGTTAATGGCTAAGCTAATCACCTATTCCACCTTCCAGAAGCCTGTCTTTATTTACCCAAAACTATATGTGTATTTTTTTATTGGAGAGAGAGAGTCTAAGCTCTAGTTAGTGGTTCACCAACGTGGGATACAGGCTGCCCCAGCTGAACACTTGCCCCGCCAGGAAATTTATATATATAAGATTTGTGGGTTTTTTTTTTTTTTTTGGTCTTTTTTTTTTTTTTAATTGGAAAGTCAGATATACAGAGAGAAGAGACAGAAAGATCTATTTGCTGATTCACTCCTCCCCAAGTGGCTGCAATGACAAGAGCTGAGCCAATCCGAAGCCAGCAGCTAGGAGCCTCTTTCGGGTCTCCCACACAGGTGCAGGGTCACAAGTTTCTGGGCCATCCTTGACTGTTTCCCCAGGCCACAAGCAGGGAACTGGATGGGAAGAGAAGCTGCCAGGATTGGAACTGGTGCCCATATGGGATCCCAGCATATGCAAGGCAAAGACTTTAGCCACTAGGCTGTCCTGCAGGACCTTTTTTTTTTTTTTCCCGAAGAGTTATTTGATTGAGTTACAGAGAGAGAAAGAGAGGGAGAGATAGCACTCTTCTATCTGCTGGTTCACTCCTCAGATGGCTACAGTGGTCAGCACTGGACCCAGCAGGAGCCTGGAGCCCAGGAGCTTTCCCCAGAGCTCCTACATTAGCTGCAGGGGCCCAGCCACTTGGGCCATCTTCTCCTACTTTTCCAGGCCATGAGCAGGGAGCTAGATCAGAAATAGAGCAGTCTGGAGTTGAACTTGCGTCTATATGGAATTCCAGCATTGCAGGTGGGAGGCTTTACCTACTATGTCATGATGCTGGCCCCTCCAGGAACTCATTGAAGTCCCTTTATATTAGCTCCATTTGCTACTCTGAAGAGCCATCAGGAGTGTTGAGCACAAGGAGCTGTGTGTGGGCTGCAGCCACCCTGTTGTCTCCTCTGTGATGGTGAAGGGACCTCCAAGCTTTCAGATCCAAAAAGACACAGATGGGAGACCAACTGTTACGTGCCCATCACTCCAGCGCCTGAACACACAGACTCACCTTCCCTCCACAACCCAGCACATTTCCCTTAATCTTTAACTCATTTTATAGGCCTGAAATCTATTTAAAATCTTTGTTTAGAAGCCAAAGCAATTATATTCCTTGGCCTTTTTTTGACTTTGAATTTGTTAGTTTCCAATGGAGCAAGGAAAATAATTAACTCTAGATGGGAGTGTCTTCAATGTTCTCTTCATTGTGTTCTCATGGAAAACACAAAGCAGACCTTACTGTACAGGATGGCAATGAGGAAGACAGACAAGAACAAAACCAGTTCAAAGTGGAGGTGGGTGGTGTAGCATAACCAATTAGGCTGTTACTTGGGATACTTGATTTCTTAGTGCATGCTGGTTTTGAGTTCCAGCTACTCCATACTTTTTCCCTTCTTCAACTCCTTCTGCTTCTTCTTTGAGTCACAGGGAGAGGAAAAGACAGGGAGAAAAATATCCTTCATCCATTGGTTCACTCCCCAAGTACCCACAATGAGCAGGGTTAAGCCAGGAGCCAGACTTTTCATCCTAGTCTACCATGTGGGTGCCTGAGCCCAAGCATTTGGGTCATCCTCTACTGTTTTCCCAGGCACGTTAGCACAGAGCTTGATTGGAAGGGGAAACACATTGGCTCCCACAGGGGAGACTGGTGTCACAGGGTGAGACTTTACCCACTCTGCCACAATGCCAACCTCTATTGTACAGTTAATGCTGCCTATGGACTATGACCCATGTACTATGTTCCTGCTACCCTGTAGAAATCCTGTCGGAACTTCTAGCTCTTTGGCTTAATATTGGTGGTTGCGACTGTTTAGGTAGAGAACCAGTGGATGAAATAGCAGTCTTGGGCCCGGCGCCGTGGCTTAGCAACTAAAGTCCTTACCTTGAATGTGCCAGGATCCCACATGCGTGCCGGTTCTAATCCCGGCAGCTCTACTTCCCATCCAGCTCCCTGCTTGTGGCCTGGGGAAACAGTCGAGGATGGCCCAAAGCCTTGGGACCCTGCACCCATGTGGGAGATCTGGAGGAGGTTCCTGGCTCCTGAATTCGGATTGGCGCAGCATTGGCCATTGCAGTCACTTGGGGAGTGAATCATCGGATGGAAGATCTTCCTCTTTGTCTCTCCTCCTCTCTGTATATCTTTGTAATAAAAATAAATAAATCTTTTTTAAAAAGTCCCATTTGTGCCAATTCCAATCCAACTTCCTGCTAATACACCTGGGAAAGCAGAGGAGGATGACCTGAGGCCTTGGGACCCTGCACTCATGTGGGTAACCCAGAAGAAGCTTCTGCCTCCTACTCAGCCTGGCTCTGGCCCTTGTGGCTATCTGGGGAGTGAGCCAGTGGATGGAAGATCTTTCTCTCTGCCTCTCGTTTTCTCTGTAAATTTGTCTTTCAAATAAATAATGTTTTAAAAGATTTATTTTTATTACAAAGTCAGATATACAGAGAGGAGGAGAGATAGAGAGGAAGATCTTCCGTCCAATGATTCACTCCCCAAATGAGCACAATGGCCGGTGCTCAGCCAATTCAAAGCCAGGAGCCAGGAACTTCCTGCAGGTCTCCCACACGGGTGCAAGATCCCAAAGCATTGGGCTGTCCTCAACTGTTTTCCCAGGCCACAAGCAGGGAGCTGGATGGGAAGCGGAGCTGCTGGGATTAGAACCGGCGCCCATATGTGATCCCGGTGCATTCAAGGTGAGGACTTTAGCCGCTAGGCCACACCACCGGGCCCCAAATAAATAAATAGTTTTAAAGAACATGCCAGTGGGTACCCACATCCCATACTGTGCCTTAATTTTGGACTGGTTGTGGCTGCTGATGTGTACCCCAGGAGGCAGTAGGTAAGGGCTCAAGTAGTTGGATCCCTGCCACATACGTGAAAAACCCAGATTTCTGTTCTTCTGGCTTCTTCAAGCTCATTCCAAGTTGTTGTAGGCATGTGGAGAGTGAACTAGTTGAGGAGAGATCTCTTCCTGTCTCCATCTCTTGCCTTTTGAATAAAAAAAATAAACAGCACATGTAAAGAAAAAAAAGTGTTAAATCCTATCATTATCATCACACGTTATTGTAACAAAGATCCCTAGACATCCATGTCGTTTTGCACGTAGTAGGGATTCAGCAAGTGTGTGATGAATTCTTGCCGTGGAGATAGCGAGTCAGGCTTTTTCTCCTATCACTCAAGACACCTGTGGTAGGAAAATCTACTTCCTATTCTAGGCTAAAAACCCTTCTGTTCTCTTGCAAGAACCTGAACATTCTTGTCTGACTTCCTCTCAATCACAGATTTGCTCATCTGCTAAACTACATAGAATTTATTACAACATGCTGCAGGGAGGGCCCCTTCCCCACCACCCCCCGACAGAGAGGCAAAGGAAGTGTGCAGAAACAAGCAGAGGTGTTAAATTACTCATGTTTATTTATAACAGACCTTCAGCCAGTACAGTACAAAACTTACAGTAGTATATCTCCGTTACACAAATATTTACTTACAATATATTACATATACAAAAACGCTTTGCAGTAAGTCTCAAAAGCTAGTTTAACCCCTCTTGAGAGAGGAGAAAAACATTAAAAAAAAAAAGGTGGGGAGGGAATCAGAAAGAAAGGTGGAGGTGAGGGGAAAGGCTCAAAGGGGAGACCAAACATAGGCTATGGAGGAGACCCTGGGAGAGAGGAGAGGTGGTATTGCACTTGCTTCCGTGTTCTATTTTTTTTTTCTCTTTTTGTTCTCCATAACTCTGATTAAAAATATATATATATATTATGTACATATGGAAAGAAGCTGCCAGAAGTATTACAAAATCCCATCTGCAGCTTTGACACTGACACACACACACACACACACAAAGGTCTGGAAAAGTATCTATTTAGAAATATTTTTTGTGGTGTTGACTTTGAATAGCAATATAAAAGGAAACACCTCTTTTCTCCAGGTGGATTTCAGTGTGTGTGTGTGTATATGTATGTGTGAAAAATTTTTGTTAAAATTTTTTAATATAGTTTTTAAAATGCAAAAGGAGCTGGGAGAAAGCATGAGGGTGTTTGAGGTCGCAGAGCTGGCAGGCTCTGAAGAGTAGGATTTTGTACCTAAGACCCTGGTTAAAGTGCAGTGATGGTCTGGAGAGAGACGGGGGAGTTCGCTGGTTCACGCTCCCCTCCATAGCACCTGGTCTTGCCCTTCCAGTCTCTGCTCTCATGGGCACAGAGTCTAGCCTCAGAGCATAGTCCTTCATGTCCCGGGAGGCTGCAGGTGCCAGAGCTGACTATGGGAGGGGAAGGGGAGGGGTGTGGAGAAGCCTAAGGCTCTGATGCCCCGAAGGGACTAGTCCTTATGAGGTGTCACCAGATACATAACAGAACAGGTGGGGAGCCAGGTCTAACAGCAAGGGGCTCAACAACCAGGGTCCAGGACAAGCCCCACACTAGCCTCAGCTCTACTGCTGTCCTCAGATGGAGAGCTGGCACCCTGGGGTGTTGTGGAGAGGACCCTGCCCACTCCAGAGGCCGTCCTCCTCCCAGCTCAGGTCTTCCACCTCAGTCTCTGCCCTCAGCAGCACCTGTTTATTGCTACACTGTTGAGGAGGAGCAGCTCCCCCGCTCCCCCCAATGCCTCTTCCTGCCAACCTGGTTCTGTCCGGGAAACCAGGGAACAGAGAAGAAAAAAGGGAGAGAGGAAAAGCTTATTTTCCTTCCCATGACAGAGTGAGGTGGGCCCTTCCCGGAGCCCTTTGGAGTCCCAATTCCAGGGTCTGGTCCTTAGCCCACCCCTTACCATCCCTTCTCCCCAAAATCCCTGATAGGGAGTGAGAAAAGCTGGAGGCAAAAAGAGCCAATACAGATAGGATAGGATAAATGGAAAGAAAAATTGAGGGGAAAGGGAGGGAAGGAAAGGAGAAGGAGCAAGAGTTACAACTTGTGAGGTGTTGTGTTTGGTTTTTACTTTTTTTTTTTCTTTTTTCTTTCTTTAAACATAGAAAAACAGCCTTTGGTTTGAATCTCAAGGAAGCAGAGAGTGGGATGGCTGTGGCCCTGGGCAGGGAGCTCCTGGAGAAAGGCTGCCACTTGCAGCGGAGCTGGGGCTGCTCCTGCCCCTTCTCACCAGTACCAACTTTCCCAACTAAGTGGGGTTCTCTGCAGTCGCCAGGGCGGGGCTAGGGGTGGGAGGAGCACCCCCTCTTGCCCTGTGTCTGAGAGCTGAGCATGGATGTGGGCAGTGAATGTCCACCCTGGATTCTGTTGTGCCCATCCCATTCGTGCTGGAACAAGGAAGGGGGATGTGGGCTGGGGGGAATGCAAGCCCTTGCTCATCATGGGATAATTTTTGGTTACACTGAAAATCAGGAGAGAGAAAGGACACACCTGCCTGGGGCAACAAGGACAGGGCCCAGGAACCTGGTGACATGTGGGGGGACTCCTGCAGGGAGGGAGCGGGAGAAGGCATGTGACCTAAGGGGCCGAGACACAAGACACCCCCTGGTCAGCAGGCAGCAAGCAATCTGCTAATTTCTCATAGAATGGGGACTGAAGGAGTCCCTGAGAGCCTTTAGGGAAGTCGCAAGACTGAAGAAATTTGAGAGGTGCAGGAGAGAGCACTGTGGCCCCCCTTCCTATGCCCTGGTTCCCAGCTAGGCACCTGTGGCTCCCAATGTGTCCAAGACAGAGGGCTGCAGGCCTACCCTTGGCCCCTGAGGAGATACATTTGGGGCACTCCAAGGAGAGAAAAGCCGCCACCGTAAAGACTGGCAGTTGAAGAGATGGGAGCCATGCTGGGGGTTCACTGGAGGTGAGGGAAGGGGCTGTCACATCCTAGAGGGAGACCTGAAGGCAGGTTTTGTGGAACTCATTCTAGGAAGGACTGGCAGGAGGACCTGCAGTCCCACAGTGTCTGGGGAGAAGTTATTCAACCCCCTTCAACTGAAACTGGGAGGAAATTCTTCATTCACTCAAGAATAGTGCAAGCTGCCTAAAGTGAGAGGGCACAAGAGGTATGGAGTCCCAGGCTGGAGGGTCCCAGAGAGGAGATTATAATGCCACAGAGCTGAGGGAGGGCCCGAGAGAGAGAGAGAGAGAGAGAGAGAGAGAGAGAGAGAGAGAGAAGGAAGAATCAGAATGTGCAGGGTGGAAACTGACAAGAGGCTCAAGAGAGGAGCTTCCTGCCCATGGGGCCTAGGGAGAAGGCTGGGTCAGCCAGGTGGAAAAAAAAAAAAAAACCCAAACAGTCTGAAGAGGAAGGGTGTGGTGGCCAGGAGGGTGAGGGCGTGGCAAACAAGTGCCAATACAAGGCAGAGAAGAAGCCAACCAAATGAGAAAGAGCTCAGCATATCTGCTGCGAGGAGAGGGAAGGGGAGATCTAAGCAAGAGACCTGTGTCGTCACAATGCTTACAGACGTCAGAGTCGAGGAGGAAGTGAGAGCTGGGGTCAGGGTCAGGTGTGAAGTCAGGTAGCCAGTGGTGAGGGGCTACAAAGCAAAGCTCCTTGGGATGCAGTGGGGGAAAACAGGGCTAGACACCATTAGGTGGGGCAGTGGAGTGGCGGGCTGCGGGCAGGTCCCTAGCCCACCTTGTGCTCTCCCCGCACGATGTGGGAGGAGAACTCGTACCGATCCTGGCTGTGGTAGCCGCAGATGTTGCACTCGAAGGGATCTCTGAAGCCGTGGCAGCCCATGTGGATGGTGAACATGACATGGTCCAGGAAGAGGATACGGCAGTGCTCACACTTGAAGGCCTTCACAGGCTCACCACTCTCACCCACCACCCGAAGCACTTCCTTGGAGGGGCCTGGGGTGCCCCGTAGTAACCCCTCCTGTGGCTTGGGGTCCTCTTTGGCGTAGGCAGGACTGTGCCGGCCCACCACAATGGTGGGTGGGGGCTGGGGTGGGGGACCCTGAGGGAGAGGCACCACCCCTCCAACCCGATCTTCATGGTTGCTGTCTGTGTCTGTGGAGTCCTGGCAGCCATTGCTGGGGGAGGCGCCAGGATCAGCCAGGGGGCCCCGGGCCCGGTAGAGGAGGGGACCCCCATCGGCCAGGTCCTCGGGTCCCTCACCTGCTTCTCGGGAGCCTGGAAGCTCCAGGCGGCTGGGAAGGGGTTGCATCTGGGTGTAGACGGAGCTGATGACTGGTGTGAGTTCTGAGATGCAGTTGGTGGGTGGCAGGCGGAGGGGACGCAGATGCTCCGTACCCACGAAGGCCAGAGACCCTCCGAAGCCAGGCTCCAGGCCGTGGTGGGCCACCAGCTCCACATCCTTCTCATAGCCACCCGAGTTCACATCGTAGGGAAGGTCCGAGAGGCTGAAGCGCATCTGCTTGTCACCTGGGAAGAAGGAGCTCTCAGTACTGCTGCTTCCAGCGTGTGGATGCAGTGGCAGTCACTGCCATTGACCTTGGATCCCTGCGAGCAGGTTCTCTCGCCCTCTAGAAGGAGAAGGACTCAGTCCCTACCCAGGTACCAGGAACGCTTCCTTCCGTCACCATAAACTCCAGGTCCACAGGGACCCAAGGCTAGCAAAACATGGGGAACCAGGTCATACTCCCTCTCTCTCTGTGCTTCCAAGATCCCACACAGAGATCCTTGCTACCCTCAAAAACTGGGGGAAATAAAAGGGGGACATGTGGGCAGGGGCAGTGTGGCAAGCAACACTGTGGTAGAGTAGATTATGCTTCCCAAGTCCCAGCTGCTTCACTTTCAATCCAGCTCTCTCTGTGCTAGGAATGCAGTGGAGAATGGCCCCAGTGCTTAGCTCCCTGAACCCCCATGGGAGACCCACAAGAAGCTCTTGGCTCCTGTGTTTGGCCTGGTTAAGCCCTGGCCACTGCAGCCATTTGAGGGGTGAACTAGCAAATGTGGATGAAATATCTGTCTCCCTCTCTCTCTTAAAGACTTGTTTAATTGTGGGCTCAGTGCAGGAACCTAGCGGCTAAAGTCCTTGTCTTGCATGTGCTGGGACCTCATATGGTTGCTACTTCTAATCCTGGCTGCTCCACTTCCCATCCAGCTGTCTGTGGCCTGGGAAAGCAGTCAAGGATGGCTCAAAGCCTTGGGACCACGCACACATGTGGGAGACCCAGAGGAAGCTCTTGGCTCCTGGCTTCGGATTGGCTCAGCTCCAGCTGTTGCCCCCACTTGGGGAGTAAACCAGTGGACAGAAGATCTTTCAATCTGTATCTCCTTCCTTCTCTGTATATCTGACTTTCCAATAAAAATAAATAAATCTTTCTTTTTTAAAAAATGTATTTACTTGCTTAAAGGCAGAGTTACAAAGAGACAAGAGACAAAGAGATCTTCCATCCACTGATTTGCTCCCCAAATGGCTACAAGATCTGGGTTGGTCTATAGTATGGAGCCAGAAGTTTCTTCCGTATTTCCCATAGCACTTCAGCATCACTTCCATATCACCTGGATACAGGGGTCCAGGTACTTTGGCCATCCTCTGCTGCCTTCCCAGGTGCATTATCAGGGAGCTGGTTCTGATATGAAGCAGCTGGGTCTTTAACTGGCATCCATATGGGATGCTGGCATCACAGGTAGTGGCTTTACTCTCTATGCCACAGCCCCCAGTCTCTCTCCCTACTGCAACTCAGCTTTTTTAAAAAAGCAATCTTTCCAAAAACAAAACTGGAGTCTGAGTACCCAACAATAGCCCTCTGCTTCAACTTCTCTTCACTCTCAAGACGCATCCTACCTTGGGGGCTAGAGACAGATCTTCAGCACTGCAGACCACCAGCCTGCCTTCCTCCCCCTCCAAGCACATTTCAAGTCCGAAAGCCATGGCTTAGTGTTAAGCAGAGCTCAGGCTGATTGGAGCTGCATCTGATGTCTCCTTTCCAACTGTCCTCTTACCTACAAACTTCTGGGGGGTGGAACGCTTGCGTTTGGTGAGGCTGTTGGCCAGACGATCAATGAACGTTGGCCGCTCCGATGACGAGTGCAGCATGGAGTCTGGCACCATTTCCAGGTCACGGATCTCATCACCTGGCGACAGGGAGGTAGCACCGGCTCAGCAGGCCCACAGACTCCGGAGGTCAGAGCTGCTGCCTAGGCAGCTGGGCTCTCTCCTACCCTCAGGTTCATCCCAGTTAACCTTTCAGATCCTGTGAGACAATCCTGTGCTTTTGACTGCTGATTTGATGCTCCCAGAGTTCTTCCTGTTAACCTGAGGACATAGTCCCAAAGTCCCCTTACCTCTAGGACACCCCTATTGACCCTACACCAGCGAGCTCCTCTGGGGAGTGGGGCATGAACCTCACTCCTGGGGAAGGGGTGGGGACAGGTGCTGGCCCCGCCCTCCACCCCTTGCCCTTCCCCCCCACCACACTGTGGCTGTGCCCCCACCTGGCTGCCCGGCCAAGGCTTGCGCGTCAGTGCTGAGACTCTGCAGGTAGTTGTGACAGCGTTCCTTGTGCTCCTCCAGAGTGCTCTGCTGCTTGTAGCTGCGGCCACAGTAGTTACACTTGTAAGGTTTGCCCACCGTGGGAGAGGAGACTGCAGAGGAGAGGAGGAGAAGGTGTCAGAGTTATTGCTCCCTATGCAACATCATCTGGCGTGTAGCCAGTGGGCACCAGCATGGGACTGCAAGAAGCTGGAGGACGGGCATTCCAGAATATGCACAAAGGAACCAAAATTGGGGGTGGGTAAATTATGCACAGCTGTGAGGACAAGGGGACCTCAGGGCACAGAGCTCCAGCAGCACAGGTCACAGGGTGGGCTTCCAGATGCTCACAGGGAGCAAGGGGCCCCAGGCCACAATCTCAGAGCCTGGGGCTGACTGTGCTTTCACCTTTCAAGGTGGTGGTGAGGCAGGCGGATTTGCTGCTTATCTGACAAGGTTTTTTTGTTGTTGTTGTTCTGGTTTTGGGGAAATTGGCAGGTTGCAGTGACAGAAGGGAGTTCCCTTAGACCCGCCCATGTGGGGAGGGGCAGCTTCCCTTGCCCTTTTACTGGCAGGTACAACTGCATCTCTAGTGAGGTTTGCCTGGCTCTTTTCTGTCCCTCCACACTAATACCCCAAGGAAGCCCAGAAAGCCCATCAATGACAGAGGAATGCTGAGAAGAGGAAAAGAGGGAGAGAACAACAAATTTGGATTTTTTTTTTAAGGACCAGGTATATAAGATCTTGCAGAAATCCTACTGAAGAAACTGAGATTGATACTTTGTTTACAGATATTTGTGAAAGGGGAGGAAAAAGTGAAGATACAAGGTATAGTATATTTTATATTTCTTGCTCTTACAAAGCAGGGAGTCCAGAGAGAGCATCTCTATTAGATTAGTATTCACTGCCCGCCCCCAGCCTCAACTTGGCCTTGACTGGAATAATCACCCTCCATTTTGCTCTTGCTCTGTGGATTGAATCCTACAGTTCTACACTTGATCTTAGCCAAAAGGCCGAGAAGCGATGAACCCACCCTGGGCTCCTTGGGGAAATGGTTTAACAGTTGGGAGGGGAATGATTTTTTAATCTCTTTTCTTCGACAGTGAGTTGCAACTGAATCTCAGAGAGATGAGACCCAGTGGTATGGGACAGACTTCCAAAAGTTTGTGGAAAAATGAAATTTAAAAACTAAGCTAATTTTGGTATGATTTTTAAAAAAAATTATGTATAGTCCTTCTTTTTTTCCCAATTCCTATTTTCTATGAACTTTTGGAAGCCCTCTCATGCCTGTCTTTGTGTGTCATTAACAGACTACCGGCCAACAGCCAACGTCTATTCAACTGTGCTTACTGCTAAGCACTCTACGGGCTAGGGCCAGTGCAATGGCACAACAAGTTAAGGCACTGTTTGCTGTGCTGACATCCTATGTCAGAGTGCCACTTCAAGTCCTGGCAGCTCCACTTCTGACCTAGCTTGCTAGTGAAGTGCTTGAGAAAGCAGCTGAATATGACCTAAGTGTCTAGATTCCTTCTACTGGTGTGGGAGACTTGAATAAAATTTCTAACTCCTGGCTTTGGCCTGGCCCAGCTCCAGCTGTTGTGGGCATTTGGAGAATGATCCAGGGAATGGGACACACATACTCTCTCTCTGTCTCTCTCTCCTTCTCTTACTGTATCTCTGTCACTGTGCCTTTTAAACAAATAATACACAAATCTTAAGGGAAAAAAATTCTAGGGGCTTGTTCCAAGCCAGCAAAGGGAGCATTTTTTCAGAAAAGATGCCTGTACTCTGACCCTCAATGGGGTCCCAGTCGGGCTGTAGTGGAGTGCTGCACCCCAAACTTGTCCTCCCCAACTCTGAGGAGCCAGCTTGGCTCTCACTGTCACTATGATGGGGTTAATCGCATCTTCCTTGGGACTTGAGGAGACACAGAGGACATGCTCTGTGGACTAGAAAGCATGAATCAACAGTGACCCTGCCTGCTTCCCCATGTGCATCGCCGGGTCCTCATCATAAGGTGAGAGGAGCTGGGACACATGGGCGACAGGAAGAGGTAGGACGTAGAGATGGCGGTGAAGACATTGTTCTTGTGAACTCTGGCACAGGAGAGTTTAAGAGAAAAGTAGCCAGCAAAGTGTCCAAGGACATACTCTACTTCTTTCCCCTCTTCCCTTTCTTTCTTTGACTTCCCAATCTTGAACTTTCTCCTTCCTGCTAGCTCAGCTCCTGGCCTCTTCTCAAGTCCAAGCAGAAAGTCTAAAACCTTAGAAGTATGTTATCTGTCTAGCTCATTCAGACAGATATTGACCCAGACAGTCTTGATTGGGCTTGGAAATCTTGCCAACTCAGTTCTTCCATGCTGCTTTAAACCCCTGCCTCCTCTGGAATAGGGAATGGAAATGGGGTATTCTTCCTACTCAGAGACCCTAGGCTCCCATTTTCCCAGTTTCAGAGCCCCTGAGATGCTCCCAGGAGTTAGCAGAAGGTAAAGCAAAGGATGGCCAGGGGACATCCAGGACCGCCACAGCTGCAGAGGAGGGTAAAGACACTACCAGACAGTGTGGGTCTGGGGCCAGTGAAGTGGGAGCGGGGCTTCCCTGGGGCTCAGAGGTGGGGGCATGGGGCACAGGTGGTATTCTAGCAGTCTCTAAAATACAAGTCAAAAAAACAAAACAAAACAAAAACAGCACCCCCCGCCCTTGTTTCCTGCCAGTCACTGACCTGAGTGTGTGCGGAGGTGGCCCGTGAGTGCGTCCCTCCGCCGGCAGGCGTAGTTGCAAAAGGGGCATTTGAAGGGCTTCTCCCCAGAGTGTAGCTTGATGTGGCGCAGCAGATTCCCCTTCTGCGTAAAGGAGGCCCCACACTGGTTGCAGTGGAAGGGCCTTTCTCCTGCAGGTGGAAGCAGAGATCCCAGACACAGCAGGTGAGGAGCTTTGAAGGAATCCCCCAAGTCTACCCGGAAGGAGAGGTCTGAGCCCACTCCCATGCAAAGCCTGCCAGAATGATGTCCTTGGGGGACAACCTCACCTTGGAAATCTATGGATTAGAGGTGTGTGGCAGGGCCAGGGGACAAAGGGCCGGTATCAGAACCGGCTCCACGGGGCCCACTCTGCCCCAGAGACCCAAAGGAGGCAGAAAAGGGGAGGTACTTGTTTTTCTTGTTTTTCAAGAAGCCTGGTTGGAAAGCCCCAAACACTACCCAGGAGCCCCACCCGGGCTGGACCACCAGCTTCTTCTCAAGGCTATGGCACTTTCCCCTCTCCACACTCTGAGAAAGCCTTCAGGCTTTCTTTGTAATAGAGAAAGACAGATGTTGAGGGGGTCCAAATTCTGTCCCTTCTGCTAAGGTTTCTTTGAGTCAGTGAGATAATATGCTGAGAAACGTCCCTTTCTGAGGCTGCCCTACTCTCACCCCCAGCCCTGCCTGTGCTTGGTGGCCCTCCCTAGGGCTCCTCCCTGAACCCCTCTGGCCCACTCACCCGTGTGGCTGCGTTTGTGCACCATGAGCACGTTGGGTCCAATACAGACCATGCCACAGACATCACATTTGAGCTTGCCGTTGGGCAGCCGGATGCCTCCTGGAGAGTGGGGCTCCGGTCCGCTCCCATCGCAGTAGCCCAAGGGCTCTGACAACGAGTCTTCCACAATCACACTATCATCCTTTTCCAGGAGCCGCTCATCTGGCCCCAGCAGTCGGCTGGACTCTTCATCGCTGTACATCTCCACCTTGATGGAGTTGGCTGGAGGGTGGGATGGCGTTTAAAACAGATATAGGCCAGGCCAGAGTCAGACTTCTAAACAGGCCTGCCATCTGCACAGGTCTTCAAACTGGTCAACAGGCTCCAATCTCCACTGACCATCAGTGGTCCACTGGGAATCAAACCCCCCTTTCCTTTTTTCCCCACCCATGGGGGCAAAGAGGCCTCCGAGGACACAATGGAGACTATAGGATGGTTCCATCACTAGGCAGAGGAGGTGGCCACGAGCAGCTGTTTTTTCCACTCTCTTGACATTAAGAAAGATGTCTGCCTAGCTAGGCCCCGGGCAGGAAGCCAGCAAGTAGCAGTGGCGGGAAAACAGTCTGAGGACGAAGGGGTAACAAGCTGGAGAGAGGGCAAGGCTAAGAGACAGACATGGCTCACACTATCCCCTTATCCCCTAAGACCCCTAAGAACCCTCCACCCCACCTCCTCCACAGAACGCTGAGGCAGAGGAGGGGACCAAGGAGGGAGGAGCTATTGTGAAGGCCTTGGCTCTAGCTCTGACCTACATTCCTGGCTATTCAAACCATTTAGAGAATGTCACATCTAGGGCCAGCTGGGGAGGGGTGATTGTGATGACCCTGTCTGCATGGGGGAGTGGGGTCTTCCATCTGCCTGCTTCTCCAAGCCCCACATTCTCTTTTGGAGCCTTCTCAATCCTGCCTATGCCTCTTTTCATTCCACTGTAGGCTGGCAGTGACATTCTCTTTTTTGAAGCCAGAAAAACCCTAGACCCTGGGCTCCCTTGAGCTTTCAGACTCTAAGCAGGAAATCGAAGGGAGACAACCATGGGGCCAGTAGGAGGTGATGCGAGGGCCACACACCGAGGGGCTGCCTGGTGTCAGGAGGGGCCAGGGAGGTGCACTTACCACTGAGTGAGCGGCTGGGAGAAGAGTGCTGGCTGTTGGGGGTGCTCACCGAGGGCCCCACCGGGGCCCCAAGGAACTCCTTCTCCAGAGATGAGTCCCCGCTACCTTGGAGGAGAGAACAAGAAGGCAACGAGTTGGAGCCATCCCACTGTCCACTGCCCGAAGAATCAAGTTAAATTCTCACATTTACTCCATAGCCAGGGTGCGGTTGTGTACCAGGCATCCTACATCAGGCCCCTACCAGCAGGGTGCCTGGTGCTGACTTCTGTGCACTTGGTTCCTGGGCTGTGCCTACCCTACCTTTATCTGAGGCTGAGGGGAAGATCCGCAAGTATTACTGCCTGACACCCACAGGAAACAACGTTGGGGCTGGGCGGGCCAAAGCGGAGAGGAAAATGGGGGCCTCTGGAGGGTGGTGATTCAGGACACACTTTTTTTCCCTACTGTTTCTTTCCAGGGTCCCCAACAGCAGCTTGGAGATCTGTAGGAATTTGGGGGGGGGCCCACTAGTAATGATGATGATAGAAGTTAATTTACTTGAGGGGTTACTATTTGCCGGGTGTTATATACTGAAAATGGATTGTGTCTTTTAACCGTCATGAACCGCCCCGCCCTTTGAGGCAGATGCTAACAGTATCATAGTTTTTTCAGCTGAGGAGCCATGGCACAACAGAGCTTATGTTCCTAAGTTCACATTCAGCTAGTGGCAAAACTGGGTTCAGAACACAGAGGGTAAGAGCCCATGCCCTGAAGTGCCACCTGCACAGTCCACTGGGGGGGTGGTCACTGTCTCAGGAAGGGACAGTTGAGTCTATCCAATTTTCCAAATTTTAGCAAAATCTTGACCACACTGGAGGATCTCCTTCTGATCTGACTCCAACCGCACTGACCAACTGATATTCCCTTACCACTCAAATGTGCTTCTCAATATATTTTAGTTTACTGACAACTTGCTTTGTAAAGATATTTTTGAGAGTTTCATAATGTTTTTAAAAATCAGTTACGTACCTGAAGTTAGGAATGTCTTTTTTTTAAAAAAATCCCATCTCCCCATAATCTTCTGTACAAATACATAGGTAAAATAAAAACACATGGAGATAAACATACAGAGATACACATATCACATACGTAGATATACAAAGAGAGAACATACTGACTGGGATAAACATATCCTTAACTTGCTATATCATCTGCTAATATGAACATGCATGGATGTGTGCACAGGCCTGAACATGGGCGAGCAAGAGTGAATGAAAAGGGGGAAAGGGAGGGAGAGAGAGAGACAGAAAACCCCTAAAATTTATCCCTAAAGTCCACCTATTAGTACTTTCCCCAATTGCCCAGCTATACACATACTTACTTTCACAAAATAAAGATTCCATTATAAAATGGTTGGAGTCTTGGGCCTGAGGCAAGAAATCCGGAACACACCCTCCTGAGGGATCCCTCTCCAGCTTTGGTCAGTGGGAAGAAAACAACCACTCAGGACTTTGGGACCATTTCCCATCCATATCCTCTCCTAAAAGTCCCATTTCCCCCATCCTATCCCATCGGAGCCTAAGGAAGTTTGCTGTTCACTAACTCTGAGAGACAGCCGCGGGAACCTGAGCCTTCCCACAGGGTCTTGGGGGGGGAGATGTGGTTCTCCAGAAACGTGGCCTGAAAGCCGAGAAGTGAGCGTCGGGAGGTGATGAAGACTTGGAGACTTCAGACTCCGTTTTAAAAGATGCCCTTTCAGCTGTGCACTGGGTTACAAGGGGCTAGACTGAACTTTCTTTTTTCCTCCTTGAATGTTGGTTCTGACTTTTTCTCAGTCCCTCGATGTTAATAATAAGGAAAAACAGGGCTCTAGGCCCTGGTGCCGAGGCCTTGACCCTAAAAGGAGGTGTGAAAACCGGCTGGAACTCCATCCCTGGTCCTAGCTTACTAGTTTGTGGCTGCCTGCTGGAGCCAGGGGCTTGCTATATGGGGAAAAATATCCTTAAAGGGATACTTCAGGGCATTAAAGGGAAAGCATCCCTTGTGGCTCTCCCCCACCAAGGCCTGAAAATAGGAGGAAAAGCTGTGGCCTCTAGAGCCTCCCCCCTTGTAATTCCAGAGGCTCTTTGATGCTCTTGTCTTCCCTGGGAGCAAGCTGAGAGGAAAGACAGGCTCAGGGCCATTTTCACAGGGCTACTATATAAAAATGAACCTGCCTCTGGGATCGGCAAGGCATCCGGGCCCCCAGGAAGGTGGATGTCTAGCCAGTGGGTACTGGGAATGAGAATCAGATTTAGGAAGTTCGCAGTTTCTCTCTTAGCCCTAGAAACCCCAGTGAGGGAATTTCAAATGCCTGGGATACCCAAGAAATCCCAGACTGTCAAAGACAAGAATGAGGGCTGTTCTTGGGTCTGAGAAATCTTGCTGGTCAAAGTCATCGTCATGGATTGGCTGAACCCTTCCCTCCCCTCAGAGGGCAAAGCCAAAGCATGAGGTTCACTTGAAAGGAACTGTGAGACAGTAAAGGGCAGGAACGCGGGAGGGAGAAGGGGAGGGCCCAGGGAAGCCACAGGCTCCACGCCTCGCAGGTTGAAGGAGGCCTGTTCTCAGTGCTTGCTGTCCCTCCTCTGTCCCTTCCAAGACTAGCCACCTCTTGGGGAAGGGCCCCCAGCTGGCACAGCCTCCACACTTCTCTGCAAGGGACTTCATCCTCATTGCTTATCCCTCTCTGGACTGTGGGCTGTGGGGTGGTGGGGCGCTGGCCTGCTGGCAGGGTGCAGAGAGACGCCCATGCCCAGCTATTGTGGGGAGACCGCTGAAGCCCCTCCGAGCTCTGCTCGGTTCCCAGCTGAGGCTCCTGCGGCCAGGGGCTCAAATTCCTCACCTTGATTCCTTCTCCCACCCATTCCCACCCAGGCCTGTGTCGGTATTACCCGCCCCCCCCCCCGGGGGGCAGCTCTACCTCTGTCCCCAAGGCCTAATCAAGATGTCACCACAGACTCCCACTGTCCAAGTCACCGGCTCTGCTTAGCAACACCAAACACCCTTTCCCATCCTCCGCGCGAGTGTAAGGAGGAACGCCCCCCTCCCCCGCTACACACACAGCCCCCATCCTCTCCCTCTCCTCTGGCTTGGGAGTTGTTACTGAATTGGCTCCCTAGCCCCAGCAACCCCCTGCCCCCCCTCCACTGGCCGCCTTCTGCCTGAACTTACATTATCCTTCCCTTGCCGGTGAGACCCTGGGGTGCGAACGCGGCCGCCGCCTTGGAAACGGCGAGGGAGTGCGGGTGGTGTGTGCATGTCTGCGTCTCGGTGGCAGGCAGGGGTGAGCCCAGCCACTCACCTTCCAGGAAGCGTGGATTCCTGGAAGTGAGGGGAACCGCCGTCATTTCGCAGGCAGCGGCAGCCGCACGGTGAGCAGGGGCCCACGGCTGCAGCCAGCGAGAACCGCTCAGCCTGGGGTGGATGTGTGTGGAAAGAGAGAGAGAGTGTGTGTGTATGTGTGTGTGAGAGAGAGAGAGGGAGACGCTTGGATGTGCTGGGGAGGGGGCTGAAGAGAGACAGTGTGTGTGTGTGTGTGTGTGTGTGTGTGTGTGTACGGTGGGGGATGCTGCTGGGCTAAGGCATCCCTTTTCCACGACAGCGAAGGGGTGGGAGAGCGGGTGTGCGCACCAGGAGGGGGAGGCCGATGCCTTTGCCCTCCTGCCCAGCAGACAAAGAAGAACTGCACAACAAATGCCTGAGAGAGGCAAGTGTGTGTGTGTGTGTGTGTGTGTATGAGAGAGAGAGAGAGAGAGAGAGAGAGAGCAAGAGAGAGGGGGAGAGATGGATGAGCTTGTGGTGGGAGGGAGAACGGGAGGGGCCCCCAGGGAAGGCCCAATCCTGTGCCAGCCAGGGAAGCCAAGGCCCCAGAGGTCATGGGGCCCAGGACAAGGGGCAGCTTCAAGGCTCTCAGCAGAATGCCCCTCCCCCACCAAACTCAGGCTTCCCCTTGGCCAGGAGGCAGGTCGCTCTCTTCATCTGGGAACTGACAGCCTCCCCGCCTTCTCGGCAGCAGGAGGGCCCAGCAGTCTGGGCTCAGGCTAGTGCAGAGAGCATCGTTGCCTGGGTCCCTCCAGGTCGGCTGCCGTCGGCTTCCCACTCCTTTCGCCTGTGCCCCTGGGGCTCCAGCCGCCTGCCCAGATGCCTGGCCCCCCACAGTCCTGTAAGAATCCTCCCTCTTATCAGGATGAGGCCTCTGCTCCTGTCCCTGCTGGAGGAGCTGCTGGTGGATGAGTTGACCTACTTTGGGACACTACATTTTCTGATTCCAAGAATTTGGAGGTAGGAGGGGCTGTGGTACTTGGAGCTGCCCACCCCCTGCATCCTTTTTGTTTAAGGTTCCCTTAAACCGTGAACAGTACCAGAAAACCTGGGACAAGCACGGCTCAGTTAACTCCACGAGGTGGGCTCAAGCAAGTCATTTCTCGTTAACGGGGATGCGGCGTGTGGAGGGTGGTCTGCGTGGCCAATTCATGGATTGCTGCTGCTTGTGCCCCCTCTCCCCTCTTCCTGCTCCAAGATGACTGGTACTTTTGGAGAGAGGACAGACTTTTGTGGGTGAGCTTCTGTGAGGTAGTGCAATCTCTTTGAAGAACAGGAGAGAGCTCCCGTTCCTCAAAGGGCCAAGCAAAAGAAAGCCACCTGGAGTGGAGGAAGAAGAGCAGGGACTATCTTGAAGGGGCCCTGGGGTGCTTCATAAGGCTTGCATACTGAGGCCTGAGCCTCTGTTGCTCCCCCAGCAGCCCAGGAGAGGGGCCCGTGGTGGGGACCACCTCATGCTGTACATCCAGTCCTCACACGTACACCTAGTCCCACAGGGAGCCACTTGCAGAGCCCACGTTAGCCCTGCCTTGGCTTTCCCTTTACCCTCTCTGGAAGGCTCCAAGCCCAGATGAGGATCTCTGGCTTCTACTTTCATTCAAAAACCACTCTGTGCAGAGGTGCTTCTGATCTAGGAAATGCCAGCTTGCTGCAAGAGGGGACAGCTTGGTCCACAGAGCAGTGAGCAAATACCCTCACCAGTCTTCCACTAGCACCCAGTATTCTCCACGGGTAGTATCGAAAAGAGCTCCAAGGGAGACTTCACCAACCCCCTCAGAGCTTCTCATGTGCAAGCCTTGAGTGAGCCCCAGCTCTGAGGCAGGGTCCCAAGTGTATCTGGGGCTCAACAGCAGTTTGCCGAAAGCGTTGCATTGAGTAGGAGGCAGACGGATTGGCTGATTACTCAGAAGCACCAAGACTTGGTATCCATAAAGTCTCTTCCAATTAAATCCGTCCACCTGATCCCTGATCATTGTGTCCCACATGTATCAAGAATCAAATGCCTTCACTCACTTTATTGCCTTCCCTCCTTAAATGAAAACAAGTCAAGAGTCGACATCTAGCTGGACGTTTCCCTGGTGTTGGCAATGCCTTTCATGCCTGCATCTGACCTTGCTGTCTCCCATAGTCCATGCTAATGACCCCTTTATTAGTCCTGCTTCACAGTTTATGCTGCTGGTCAGTCCACGATGGGGCCTGGACTGGGGACACCTATATCATCAAAATTCAGTTCAGGCTCCCTTTACCTCTAGTAATCACTTCCTACTCTGACATTCTAATGAACCAAAACACGATTCCTTCTATCCCAAATACAAACTACTGAAGACCTTTTTCCTATACTTTTAGAGAGACAGAGTAAGAGAGAGAGAGAGCACCCTTGCTAAAATTCTTGATTTCTTTTCATCTTGTTAAACCTGATGACTTCGATGTCTCTAAAATGCTACTTAGGGGGCCTAGTGTTGTGGGCTGCTGGGTAAAGCTGCAATGTGGGCATCTCATTTGGGTACCAGTTGGTGTCCCAGTGGCTCTACTTCAGATGCAGCCCTCTGTTGGTGGACTGGGAAAAGCAGAAGATGGCTCAAGTGTTCAGATTCCTGCCATCCACAAGGGACCTGAAAGAAGCTCCTAGAACCTGGCTTCAGCAAGCTATTGTGGCCATCTGGGGAGTGAATGAGTGGATAGAAGATCTCTCTCTGTCTCCCTCTCTTTTTCTTTTCTTTTTTTTTTTTTTAAGATTTATTTATTTTTATTGGAAAGTCAGATATACAGAGAGGAGAAGAAACAGAGAGGAAGATCTTCCATCCAGTGATTCACTCCCCAAGTGACCACAATGGCCGGTGCTATGATGATCCAAAGCCAGGATCCAGGAGCTCCTTCCAGGTCTCCCACATGGGTGCAGGGTCCCAAGGCTTTGGGTTATCCTTGACTGCTTTCCCAGGCCACAAGCAGAGAGCTGGATGGGAAGCAGGACTGCTGAGATTAGAACTAGCAACCGTATGGGATCCTGGCGCATGCAAGGCGAGGACTTAAATCATTACGCTATCATGCCAGGCCCTCTCCCTCTCTCTTTCAAAGAAATAAGTCAATCTTCAAAAATAAATAAAATGCCACTTATACCATAAGAAAATAAATAAAATGCTACTTATACTATAAAAAATTGTCTCTTCCACTTCAATAATATTTGGCTGGAGTGAAAAACTGTAATGTATTAAATTATGGAAAAAGATTGGGGGGAAAGGAAAATTGGGCTCTCTATCTCCACCTCCAAAGGCTGTAAACTACTAGAATTTAGGAGAAATATGGGCCTGGCGCCATGGCATAGTGGTTGAGGTCCTCACCTTGCACACCCAGGATCCCATATGGGCGCCGGTTCTAATCTCGGAGGCCCCGCTTCCCATCCAGCTCCCTGACTGTGGCCTGGGAAAGCAGTCGAGGATGGCCCAAGGCTTTGGGACCCTGCGCCCGCGTGGGAGACCTGGAAGAGGCTCCTGGCTTCAGATTGGATCAGCTCCAGCCGTTGCAGCTGCCTAGGGAGTGAATCATCGGATGGAAGATCTTCCTCTCTGTCTCTCCTCTCTGTATATCCGCCTTTCCGATAAAAATAAAAATAAATCTTTAACAAAAAAGAATTTAGGAGAAATAAATTTGACTTATCCTATGGATTATTTAAAAAATACTCATTATTTTAAAGTGAAGACACACTTTATTTAAAATTTGGATTTTTTTTCAGTATTGATTTACTTATTTAAAATCAGAGTTAGAGAGAGACAGAGCAAGAGAGTTCCTCTGTCTGCTAGTTCGGTCCCCAGACAGCTGCAATGGGCAAAGAGCAGGCCAGCTGAAGCCAGGAGTTTCTTCCAGGTCTCACAGGTGGTGGCAGGTACTTAAGCACTTGCAATGCCTTTGCCTGTTTTTTTCCAGACCATTAGCAGGAAGCTAGATCAGAAGTGAAATAGTTGGGACACAAACTGGAACCCATTGGGGATGGCACTGCAGGTGGTGGCTTAACCTGCTACATTACAACATCAACCCCTAAAACTTGGATTTCTTATTCCTCTTGAAAAGTACAGGAGTCTGGGCTATGTACATATACCTCCCTGCATGGCATGTGGTGACACTGAAGGCTGCTGGAGGTAGGACATGTTCAATAGTTCAAGACAGTCTCACCATCCTCATCCATCTTCTTGTTATCCTAAGCTACTTCACTAATTCACACACCTACACCTGGCCTTGGAAAGCCTTGGAGGGTTGGAATGCTGCTCTCTTGGCTCATGGAATGGGATGGAATTTTATATTTGGTCAGTGATGTCAGAGCAGCAGGAACCATCTTTCTTCCATCTGGGTGTGCTTTGTATCTGTTCCTCCAATAGACCACTTATATTCTCTTCCCCTATCCCTCCCTGCCCCCCAAGAATCCTGGGGAGGTAATCACTATTTAGGAAATGTAAATCACAGTACTTGTGCATTGCGAAGGGCTACTGGACCCAAGCATCACCTCTGAGACCTTAGCAGGAGGATGCCTGCTCCCAGCCCTTACGTGTAGGACACACAAGTAGGCATACCAGACATATAGGAGCGGCCATTGCAGTCTTCTATGTCCATTTTAAAGATCCTGTTGAAAGAGAAAACAGCCGCTGTTAGAGCCAAGTCGGGGAAGGCAGATCTTTCTTTAACATTCTGGAGTCAGTGAGAAACCTAAAGCAGCCCTGGAGCATGACCTGATACAATCCTAGAGAAGAAGCAGGACCTCATGCTCTGGCCTGCTGACAAAGACATGGTGCCATGACTTACACATTCCAGGCTCCTTCCTGCTCTCGGCCTCCCCCTCTGCAGCCTCTTCCAGCCCTGGTGCTGGAGGTGCTTTAACTCAGGGCACTCCAGGTTTCCAGCACACACAGACCCTGCCCTTGGAGGTAGCACTGACACTGCAGGAGACAGTCGAGGCTTTTA